AAAGAAAAATAATTTTGAAAGAATTTAGAAATCTGCTTTTCTAATAAACCCCAACACCAGAGGAATGAGTACGAAGTATGATGCCCACCTCCTGCCAGAGGGGTGAGGGACTCAAGGTGAAAAGTGAGACATACATTTTGGGACACGGTCAATGAAGGAATTTAAGTCACTTAACCACGCATATATATCTTGAGGGTTTAATTTTTCTTTTTTGTCATTGCTGTTCAGTTGGGGGTGGGCAGCATAGTAGGGAAAGGAAATGAATGCCTGATCATGGAAAAAATTACAAAATTATTTTTAAATGGGAGGAGAGGATGAATTCTATAAGCTTGGGAGGTCACTCCTACCTCTAGAGCTATGACCAATAGGGAGGTCATACACATTTAGGTAACACAGGTTCTAGGTGCTAGAAGAAAGCTCAGGATAACAAGACCAACGTTCTTTTGTTCTAGGGGCTTCCAGATATCAATTTCAAAGATTGGGAATTTTCAGATTTCAAAGATTTGGAGGATGAAGAATATTATGTACTCATGAGACAATGGAAGTAAATCAAAATCTATATGGCACTTGCAGGTTACAAAACCTTTTCTTCACAAAAACCCTATAAGTTGGTGTATAAATATTGTCATTTCCATTTTATTGACAAAGAAATTAAGGCTCAGAAAAGTTAAGGAACTCAACTAAGGTCACACAACAGAGGAATAATAATACCAATAAGCTCAAATTTATATACTTTAAGGTTTGCAAAGCACTTTATCATTCTTAGAATTGGGAGTTGGAAATGAGGTATTCTGACCAAGTTCAGCAGTGATCTTTCCACTATACTATGTTACCACTTCTACATAATGGCCCTTTAAATAACTGCTGCAAAACATAAAAGATATGTCATTAACTTAAGCATCCTATGAGTGACTGTCATTAGGCTACCGTTAGATATCCAAGGAATGCTTTCACGTCAAATATTAGCCAAAACAAATGATAGTAGATATTTTCCTTGCAGAACTAAGATGAAGATGATAGTTAGTGTGAATAGCTTATAGAACTGCAAAGAGTAAGCTGACTGAATAGCTTGAAAGTACAATCCACTCGTGAGATGTTAAACTTCATTCTTACTTTAGGTAAGTTGAAGTTTTTGTTTGCAGAGTTCTGTGAAGTTCTTATGCATTGATATACCTCATCTGCTTTTAAGAAGTCTATTGTTATGATGTGACAGCACACATATGTAAGTATAACTATGCAGTGAAAGAATTTTTATGTAATAAGTTTGGTCCCTTTAGAAAGGAATACCAATTAAATTGTTGTGACAGTGTAGTAGCACAAAGTTCACTTTATTCAAAGAACATAAAAAAGAATCAAGAAAACAAGCTAACGAGTGTAAGGGTAGGGACCAAATGAATTGATCAATCACTCTACCTCACTACCTTAATCAATAAGCAATCACTAAATATTTATTAAGTGCCTACTTAATAAGTAAGCTAGACACTGTGATAAGCACATGTATTAATCAATAAATCAAAGGCACTAAACTAGATTGAAAAGTCCTTAATTTGAAAGGAATTAAAGCTATTTGATGAAATAAAGTGATGCTACATAGAAAGTATATTGGGGAAAAGGTGGTGTCAAGATGATGGAATGAGAGTCAGTATCTTTGCCCAGTTCACCCACTAAACCTCCTCCACAACAACCTAAAAATGTTTTATAACAAATTCCGATCGAGAAAGCCAAGAAAAAGTATAGGGAGTCATTTTAGCAGCCCAGGTAGCTCAGGAAGACAAAAACAAAACAAAACAAAACAAAACAAAACAAAACACAAAACAAAACTGTGTGGACACTGGGGGTAGGATATGGCCAGGAGTGCAGTGTAGCAGCAGCAGCAGTGAGGAATATTCCAGCACCCAGGGACAATAAGGAGGATAAGATTGAACACCAAGCCTAGAGGCACTAAGTCAGAAAGAGATCCCAGTGGACCCCCTACACTAGCACTGGGAACAGGAACACGTGCCATTGGCAACTCTGCTGTTCCATACCCCATTCCAAGTCCCATAGACTAAGGGAGCCCTGGCTGAGTATTGATCAAGAAGCAAGCTCTAGAAACATACACAGCTGGGTGGCTCTGAGTCTAGGAGCAAAGCGGCAGTTCATTTCCAACCTGCAGCCCAGCATGTAATCCTACAGGGGGATAACTAAGGCAGCAAACCAAGATTAAAAGAGAGACAAGTTCAGTGGCTCTGAACCAGCATAATCTCCTGTTAACCCATTGCAGAGCCTTCTCAGGGGCTAACAGTGACTAAGTCCAGCAGCAGTCTATGGAAACCCAATCACACACAAGCCAAAAGACCCAAACCTGGGAAGCTGCAGAGCTCAGACCAAGAGGACAGTGAACAAACCTGTCCCCAGATCATACTACCTGGGGAGCACTAAAAATTTGCAGGTCCCTAAATTGATCTGTAAAAACAGCGGAGGAACAAAAAAGGGCAGAAGCTAATGTCAGACATTGCATTATACATAAAAGTACTTTGGCGAAGTAGAGTCAAGATGGTGGAATGAGAGTCATATTTGCCCAGTACACCCAACACACTTCCTCCACAACAACCTAGAAAATGTGTTATGCCTGATTCTGACTGAGAAAGCCAAGAAAAAGCCACAGGGAGTCATTTTTCCAGCCCAGGGCAACTTAGGAAGACAGACTGAGAGGTATATGCGGACACTGGGGTGGGGTACGGCCAGGAGTGCAGTGCAGTGGCAGCAGCGGTGAAGAACATTTTAGCACCCAGGGACTAACAATGAATAGAAAGACTTCAAAGAACTATGAACAAAACCCACATTGAAAGAATACAGAAGAGGAAACAGAAATAAGTACTATGTATACTGACCAGAGCTTAAGACATTGGGATTATTTCCTTGTATATGGAGACAAAATTCTGCCTATTTCTATGACTATAATGTGTGTATATGCTGTTTTGCCCGCTTGATGTGTTGCATAACAATGAAACTCATGACTGTATCATTTCTCTATGTACCAAGTTTCTAGAGATCCTGAACCCAGGTATATGTGCTTTAACCCAAGTCCCTGAAGCCAAATAAACCAGTAAGTTTTCCTGATAAAGATCTGGTATCTAAGATATATAGAAAACTGATTCAAATATATAAGAATATGGGGCAGCTAGGTGGTGCAGTGGATAGAGCACTGGCCCTGGAGTCAAGAGGACCTGAGTTCAAATTCGGCCTCAGACACATAATACTCACTAGCAAGTCACTTAACACCAACTGCCTCACTAAAAAAAACATATATGTGTATATATATACATATATATGTATATCCACATATACATATATATATGAATAAAAGTCATACTCAAATTAATAAATGGTGAAAGAATATGAAGAGACAGTCTAAGGGAAGAAATCTGAGCAATCAACAACCATGTGAAATAATGCTCCACAGTGTTCATAGTAGAAGAAATGCAAATTCAAAAAACTTTGCAGCTCTACCACATACATATCAGATTGGCAAAGAGAGTGAGAAGAAGAATCACCATTGTTGGAGGAGTTATGGGAGGCCAGGAATACAAACGCACTATTGACAGAGTTGTCCATCTTTCTGACCATTTTGGAAAGCATTTAGAATGATGCCTCTGAAGCTGCTAATTGTGCATGACTTCTGACCCAAGACTGGGAGGCACACACTCAGAGAAACAGAGAAGGACACATATGGACAGACATGTTTACAGCAGCACTTCTTATAGCAAAGAACTGGAAACTAAAGAGGCACCCATCAATCGGGAAGGAGATGGGCACATTAATGGAAAATGATTGTCCTATAAGAAGTGACCAAGGAAATGGATTCAGAGAAACCTGAGAAGACTTGCATGAACTGATTCAGAGTAAAGTAAGCAGAGTCAGGAGAACAAGGCATACAGGAACAACACTAAAAAATTAAAACAAAACAAAGCTTTGAAAGACTTAAGAACCTGAAATGATGACCAGTGATTGATGAGGGCCTGGGCTACTCTCGTCCTCACAGCCAAAGTGATAGACCAGAGGTACAGAGTGAGACCTGTGTTTTAAAGGGACAGAGTCAATGTATAAATTTTCTTTGCTTTAACTATGCTTATTTGTTACAGGGGAGGTGTTTAAAAACTTGGGGTTGGGTGGAGATTTGTTGGGAAGGGAGCTGGAGATAGAGATTCCAAAAACAAGAAGAGAAGGAATGGAGGGTCATGGAAGCATAATTTAAAGACAGAGAAGAAAACAAAACTAAATTCAGAGGAAGAGAATCATGCAGGACAGCTCTGAAACTAACATGTTTAATTTATTATATGCTTTAAAAAAAAGGGAGTATTTGACAGATTCATAGTTTCAAATGCAATCCTCTTTTTCTGGTATTCTTTTGTATATGGAAATGTTGTATTTGTAGGAGTTTTCAAGTTTGGTTCAGAAAAAGATCTTAAATATCATATCTAATGAAAATTTCTGAAACATACACAGAATTTTGATCCATCCTAATAACTTCTATAATGCAAATGAAAGTTAGAGAATCCTCTACTAGAACAACAAAAATCTATGCTACCTAACAATATGAGAATAATATTGCCAAACTGATAAAATGGGGAGAACCCTAGAAGGAGGGGTATGCTAGAGCTAACAGGTTCTTGAGAGCCAATTATTAAATTTTTAATGTGAACATTTAGCAAAGATGACAAATCAGATCTTGATTTACTGTTTAATTAATTGTCTAGACTTTTAAAAATGATGCAGAAAACGTTAATAATGCCGATTAAACTTAAAAGTGTGTCCTTTAAAAGAGCTGGTTGTTAAACATTTACCAACACAGTCCTCTGTATAATGTATAGGTTTTAGAGAATGAGTTATAAAAGGTATACTATTTAGTCCTATTGAGGTCTAACAGAAGGTTCTGAGCTGTCTTTTATACAATTTACTACAAAAATCAGATTTTTACTTTGTGAAGGTAAATTAGGAGAATCCTTTTTTCCCCTTACCTGTAAGGTTGTATTTTATTATTCCCTTCAACTCCAAGTTCCAGTGCTTTTTTAACAACAACTTCATTTTCTTCCGGATAAACTGAACATGTGCAGTAAACAATTGCTTGTACTTTGTTAACTGTATTTAACAGGAAAAAGTGGTCACTGTTCATGTTAACAATCCTATACAAATCTGGTACAACTCAAAATATCTTCATTTCCTATTTCATCTAGAATGGTAACATTGTCCTTAATATCCTTTGCATATAAAGATAACATTGGTATACTATTAAGTTTAATTCAACAAACGTATTTTAAAGTACCTATTAAATATAATCAATCAACAAGCACTTATTAATTAACTACTATGTGCCAGGTACTACGGCAGGAGCAGGGATTAAAAAACAAAACCAAAAACAAAACAATTCCTGCCTTCAAGGAACTTACATTCTTTCAAATAATATAACATGTACACAGAAAATTAGATGCAAAATGTACGCAAATTAATTTGGAGGAACACTAGCAGCTCAAGGGAGCAGGAAAGGCTTCACATAGGCATAGAACTGGAATCTGCATAACTGAACCCATAAGAACTAATGAAGTCGATCAGGAGATGACATACAGTGAGAGAGTATGATGTCATGTAGTCAGGACACAGTGATGAAAAACAACAAAGTTCCTCTTCCCAAGCAGTTTACAGTTTAGCGGCAAGTTCGAGTCAAGCACTGAACTACAATACAAGCATATATGAAGGTTCAGAAGAGCACGAGAAACTCTAAGAGAAGCAGGATGAGGGAAGCCTTCAAGGAGAAAGGGGCACTTGATCTAGGCCTAATTAATTGAATGTGAACTCAAATGTTTTTCTAATTGTGGTAGTAGTAATGCATCGGGAATGAGCCATGGGTACAATCTTATCTCGCCTGATCCCCCTCAGGACCAACATGCATTTTTTGAAAATACTTTATATAATAAAAATATCAACAAATATGGGTGAACAAAATAAAGAATCAAATCCAAAATAAAACCATAATCTCGAATCTAGTCTCATTTTAAGGTAAGAAAAATATGAACATAAAATAATAACAACAATCTGCTCTATGACTTTTTCCTGTCTTTTCATAAGGTTTGCTTGCTATAAGTTTTTTGCATAATCATAATCAATATATATGATACAATTTTACCTTTAAGTAATACTTGAGCTGCATTGCATAAACTTTGATAGTTTTTGCTACCATTATTTTTGAGGTAATCTGTGAGTTTTATAATTTCTTCTTTAACCCAGGTATTGTTCAATAAATTGGGTTTTAAACTCTATATAGACACCTTTCTGGACAGGACACTACATTTACTTTTATCTTTGTTGTAATGATCAGTAAACATGGTATTTATAGTTACATCTAACTCTGTTTCTCTATGACAAAAAGATAAGTATATATTCTATGTGGACTTGAAATAAATTAACTTTCCTTCCTTTTTACATTAAATTATCTCCATATGTCTATTAAATCCATTCTTTTCAATACTCTCTTTATGCTTACAAGTTCGTATTTATCTTTTTATTATTATTATTAATTTATTTTGATTTATCAACAACGACTTCCATAAGCTTTTGAGTTTTAAATTTTTCTCCCCCTCCCTCCCAACATCCTTCCCCAGGATAGCATGCAATCTGACATAGGCTATACATATACATTCTTATTAAACATATTTTCACATTAGTGATGTTGTAAGGAAGAATTAGAACCAATAGGAGGAACCACAAGAAAGAGAAAACAAAACAAAACAAAAAGAAAAAATAGCAAATAGTATGCTTCGATCTGCATTCAAACTCCATAGTTCTTTCTTTGGATGTGGATAACATTTTCCATCATGAGACCTTTGGAGATGTCTTAGATCCTTGCACTGCTGAGAAGGGCTAAGTCTATCAACATTAGTCATCGCACAACATGGCTGTTACCGTGTACAATGTTCTCCTGGTTCTGCTCACTTCACTCAGCATCAGTCCATACAAGACTTTCCAGGTTTTTCTGAAGTCTGCCTGCTCATCATTTCTTATAGCACAACAGTATTCCATTACATTCATATACCACAACTTGTTCAGCCATTCCCCAATTGATGGCATCCTCTCAACTTCCAATTCTTTGCCACCACAAAAAGAGCTGCTATAAATATTTTTGTACATGTGAGTCCTTTTTCTTATTTATCTTTTTGTTTAATTTATGATAGTCTGATAGTAAGGTATTAAAACATGTCCTATATATATGCAAATATATGCATATATATAAACTGTTCTATTTCATCTTGTAAGAACATAAGCTTTTCTTCTATAAATTCACCTGATATTTTACTTTATGCATACATACTAGTAATCAATATGCTTTCATTTTTAATGATACCTTTATACATAATATAATTTCCTTAACTGTCTTCTCAGTGCTTCCTTCTTTTAATTTAACTCTGGCAAATAACAGAAGGGCAGCTGAGTGGTACAGTAGATAGAGCACCAAACCTAGAGTCAGGAAGACTAAGTTCAAATCTGGCCTAGACACTTACCAGCTGTATGACCCTGGTCAAGTCACTTAACTCTGTTTGTCTCAGTTTGCTCACCTGTAAAATGACTTGAAGAAGGAAATGGCAAATCACTCCAGTACCTTTGCCAAGAAAAACCCAAAATGGGGTCAGGAAGAGTTGCACATGACTGCAAGTGACTAAACAACAAGATAACAGAAATGCTACTACAGATTTTCTTCAACTAGTTGCAGCATGATAAATTTTAGCCCACCAAATTTGTATGTATCTTTTTGCATTAGATAAATTTCATGTAGACCAGTGATTCTCAATCTGGAATCCAACGAACCCTAGAGGGCAGTGGAATCAAGCAAGGAGTTCCTGATTTCACAAGTAAATCCATAAATAAGCATACATGCTTTCTGTAGACAATGTCTTAAACTTTATGTATTGTTATTTTTCAAATGTATGTAGGTGCTATTATTAATAAAATGTATACTTCATTTAAGTGTCACTAAATTCAATTAGCCTTTTGTCATTATCTATTATTATAACAGATGACAATTACTATCATATATGGTATCCATAAGATTTTTTTGAACATTAAAAAAGTTGGGTACCATTGCTATAGAACATTTCATTTTTGTTTTAATATGGCTAATGTGGAAATTTGTTTTGCATGACTTCATATTTGTAATGAGTTTTCTATTTCTTGCCTTCCCAATGGGCAGGGGAGGTGTTGGTTGGAGTGAAAGAATTTAGAACAAAAAAATTAATTTAAAAAATTGAATTATGTTTTTTAAAAAGAAATTTTTATAAAATTCTTTTCCTTTTTATACTGGAGGTCATGTCATTTTACATTCCCCTTCTGCAAATGATATGCTGGACTTCTACCATTCTTTGTTAAATTGTTATTCAATTTTTAGATGAGAACATAAGCATTCTTATTTTATAACTTCTATTTGTAAGTCAAAGAATACTAAAGAGAACTCCCAATTTTACATTAAAGCTTGTGTGTCTTTAAAACTCCACACCACCCCACCTTTGTAAAAGTTCTTCACCTTATCTTCTCCCCTCGCAATCCTCAATGACCTGCATTTTCTTTTTTTTATTTATAGCATTCCCTTAATTGAAAAATCTAATTTCTTTTCATTTTATCTGTTGTTATTCTTTTTTCAATCCCAATTATATAATTCAATACTTTAGCCAAGATAATAGTGTAATAATTTGCGATCATTTTCTACAGGCTCTTACATTAAGGTAACAATTAATCACAGCTGAAAAGTATATATTATTCTAAATACTTAACTCTTCAAGGTCTCTCTATCTCAGTTCCAAAGACTTTTTGGGGGGCATGACTTTTTTTTTCCTCCAGGAATTCTTTAAGCTTCTCTTGTTTTTTTGTTTTTTTTTCAAATATCCTTTAAATGTACTTTGGTTTGCTGGTAAAAAATAAGTGAAGTTGAAGAAGGCCCATGTTTTTTAATTTTATTTATTAAAAGTTATTTCAATAAAATTTTATTTTATTAAAATTATTTATTTTATTTTATTAAAATTTTATTTATTAAAAGTTATTTCAAAAAGTTATTTCAAAAAAAGTTTTATTTATTAAAGTTATTTCAATTTTAGGGATCACTTTTCTTTGAGAAAAATCTCGTTAACTCTGTAAGAGATTTTTTTAAAAAAATCAATCAAAAGACATGTGTATATCTAATATGTATGCCAAGCACTGAGCTAGGTGCTTGGGAATGAAAAGCCAAAAATAAAATAATCTCTGTACTCAATGAGTTTATAAGTAAAACCTTTCTTTCCTTCTGGAAATTGGGAAGTTTTTTTTTCTTTTTCAGAGTTTTGAAGTCTGATGAATGATGTGCAAATTTAATTTCTCTTTGTCAGGGATTATATGGATGCTGTCTCTTTGCAGAATGTTGCTTGGTGGTGTTTTTTTATGGTTCTGATAGGTTTTGTCATATAATTTCCAAAAATAAAACAATCAGATCCTTTTTTTAAAAAAAACGATTTCTGGGACTCCACTAATTCTAAGGTTTCCTTTCCACTAAATCCATCACTTTGAATCTTCCCAATCTTTTTTTCCACTTGAGTTATTTGGAATTTGTTTCAACTACTATCTGTCATTTAACTTCTACTGTGTTAATCATTTTGGTTGTATCCACTAGTATTTTCAGACTCACTTGCTTTTTTATTATGCACTTTGCAGAATTCTGTCATAATCTCACAAAATTTTAGCTACATTGCTTTTCCTTGAATTTTGCCCAAGTTTATATGTGTATGTGTTCAGTTCTATTTTAAATTTTTCTGATTTTATTGAGATGATTTCAGTTCTTTAGTTCCTTTGGTATGTCGGTTTCAAGTTAGTCATTTCTTACAGGGTTGGGTTTTGTTTTGGGTTTTTGTTTTTTTTTTTTTTTGCTTTGTTTCTGATGTCTTTTTCTTAATGTTTCAATGTGCCTTTCTTCTGCTGTTTTGCCTTCTCTTACAGGATGCGCCATCTTTTGAGGTCCATGTCCCTTGGCTTTTTACATAAACCTTCCAATACCCTTTATTTAATATGAAACAAAATGCCAAGGACATGCTATGCATACATCCATAAAAAAATAAAATAAAGAGATG